CCTTCTGATCTGAGACAGAAGATAACAAATAATCCGTGGAATATATGAGGACAGTGCACCACTGAAAGGCACTGGAAGTCAACTTAGAAGTGAATGGCTGTATAATATGAAACTGAAGGTGGGGTGCTTTCATATGGTTGCAGAGTTTCTGGATGACTTTTAGCATCATTATAAAGTGCTGAAAGGTTTGTGTTATCCCCAATGAAATGCCATTATTATGCTCCATAAATTCTATCTGCACATTCTATTGTCAGTACATAATGTTTATACAAAGAGTTAAAAAGAGCATAACTTGATTCTCCCTGGTAAACTTATCCAGAGCTGGGTTTGCCATTAAACAACATAAGCACATGCTTAATGAATCAGACCAATGGGGCACCACAACATTTTTTACCCTAGCTGTCATGCCTTTAATGATAGGTAAACTTTAAAACAAAGTGCATATCCTTTTTTGTCCTTCTGCTAAATAAAATACCTCAGTCAGGTGCTTGATTTTGGTCTATGTTCAATCTGTTAAACAAACAAAATAAAACATAAAGCTGTGGGGTCTGGCCTGGGGCTGGCTTGAAAGACTTTTATTTCACCTTTAGCACTCATTGAGTCTTAGGGTTGAGTTATTAAAGGCAAAAAGGTTGTGCACTTTGCAAGGGAATTTGCACTTTGCAGAGGAATTTTCTCTTAGCGTAGAGAATGGCATGAAACTTTACTAACTTCCATCATCCAATCATGCGCAAGCAAAAATACTGTGTTTTTTTTATCTTCCTTGCGGGTAATTGGGTATTCTTGGCCTTTCACCACATTCACTAAGCTAGGGGGAAACATGCCATGCAAAGTGCAAACTCCCTTCCATGGAAACAGCCTATTTGCCTTTAGTATATCAATTATTTCATGTCTTATCAGTTAAAGGAGGACTATGAGGTGAGTGAAAATCACTCAGCCTCATAGTTCGAGCCTACGTATGACAATTAAACTGTCACACGTCGGCTCAATAGATCAGGAAGTGAGTGAACACATACCGTCGCTCGCTCACTTCTCGATCATCTCCCTGCAGAGAGCCGTGACTGTCACTCGGGGCTCCCTGCAGGGATTACCCCCTCTCCTGTCCGATCCTCCAACGCTGACTGGCGGAACGGACGGGGGAGGGTACAGCTGGCACTGCCTCTAGATAGGCAGAGCCAGCTGTCACTCACGCAGCTGGGTGGATCCAGACAGTATTGTTAGGGTCCGTCCCAGCTGCGGCGTCTCAGTATACCGCGAGCTATAGCTCGCGGTATACTGAGCTTTGGGTGACGGGAGGACGCTAGTTTGTGTCCTCCCGTTACCCTTAGGAAAACTATGGGGAAAAGCACTGACCCCATAGTTCTCCTTTAAGGAATGGAGGGGTCTTTGTTGCCCCAGTTGCCTTTAATCCGACCCTGAGCTTGCCTATGCTACCTGTGATGAAATGTAATGAAGTATGCTGCTTAAAAATTAGGACAACAATTAATAAGTCTAATCAAACACTGACCAGGAATGTCACCAGCACAAGCAAATTACTGCTATCCAGATGCGTGTACCACTCCTCTTTAACAAAATATCAATCCCCAAAGTGGCAGGTTTTTGGGAGAAAATAACACTTCTCTCCACGCTACTAAAATGAAGGCCTGAGAAGATATAAAACCAGGTGAAGGTGTTATATGCTCACAAACTAAAGTTCCATTTTAAATATAAGATGTACGCATAACATCCATATAAACCAATGTTTTTCAGAACTCTACAATCGGCGGCTGCCTGCCTCCTTTGGTCTACACTACTACGCTGGAACATACTTGGATTATTGCTTTGTTTACCATGCCCTGCAATTGGGACAATATCAGCATTATTTAAGTGTATCTAAAGCCAAAATCTATTTTTTCCAGTATGTTGTGTATACTCCTGGCATTCTTTAGCTTGGGTGAAAAACACAATCAACTGGCCCTTTCATGACAGGGACAGATTTCTGTGAGCTAAAGGGGGCATACCATGCAAAGTGTTCCACAGTATCCACAGTGTTCCACAGTATCACAATGATTGGTAGGGTGCTATTGGTCACATGGCATCTCAGAGCTGCAAAGGTAGTTGGAGCTGGAAGACGTCCCTCTGCCAGATGCTGTGATCACAAGTCTGGTTGGGTAGTAGGTAGCTATAGAAAGCCTAGCATGTGTTACTGACTGTAGACTCCCCTCTGATCAATATCTAATTGATAAAGCATCTCTGTGCCACCAGTCTAACACTGCTTTGGTTGGCTACTGGGCTACCAAATAGGCACCCAATAGCCAACTCCTACATGGCAGTCTGGCAATGCTGCTGCTAATTAGTGCTGTCAGCCTGAAAAACTGGCAGGACCCCCAAGTAAGAAACTTTGCAACATATTCACAAAAACCTATTAGCTTAAAAAACGGTATAGAGTGAGGCAATATGCTAAACTTACTGAAAAACAGATTTTTATGATTTTCTTTATCTTCAGAAATCTAAAGATTTCAGAATCTTTATGATTTTAGTAGGCAAACACTTTTGACATACTGGTATGTTAAGTTTATTTAGTATTACGTATTTGATACTTAAATATTATTTAAGTATTTAATACTTAATAATAGTATTAAGTATTTAGTATTATGTATGATGATTAATAATAACATATACATATCAGGTGTAAAATGCTGTGATTTAGAAATATTTGCACTTGCAGAGCATTTACTTCCTGCTTTGAAAGGTGCAAATAACTTCAGTTTGCCAAAGCAATGCACTCTGGGATTGCCTTATCATCAGCAGAGTATTCCTAGGAAATCTCAAATGTAATCTCACCAAATCTCAGGGAAAAGCATTTACTCCCCTACGATGATGTGCATGGTCACATGTCTTAGTCACATGCCTAGTCACATGTGGCAGACATTCAAGAAGTAAAGGGAGATCTAGTAACCTGCCCTTTGGGCAGATTATCTGGCTGCAGTTCCATTTACTGCAATGTACCGCTACGCCCCTGAAAGCAGGGACCTGGCCGAGATGCGATCCAGTGCGTTTCGGCACCAAATCGGGCCAGAACGCACTGTATCTGGTGTGAACTAGCCCTTTCACTCAAATTCTACCAATGCATGCCTTTATGTATGATGATTAATAATAACATAGACATGTCAGGTGTAAAATGCTGTGATTGTGAAATACTTGCACTTGCAGAGCATTCACTTCCTGTATTGAAAGGACAAAATGGCCTCAGTTTGCTAAAGCAATGCACATAGGGATTGCCTTGTCATCAGCAGGGCATTGCTGGGAAATCTCTTCTGTTATCTCAGGAGATCTCAGGGGAAAGCATTTTCCTCCCCTGAGATGATGTGCATGGTCACATGTCTTAGTCACATGGGCCAGAAATCCAGCTAGTAAAAGGAGAGCTAGTAATCTGCCCTTAGTGAAAATGGTCACTGTCAGAAGACCGGGGAAGAAAAGAGAAATAAGGTGTGCAAAGAATACAAAGCCGGCAATTATCTAGAAGTATGTGTTTGTAGATTGTCATTACTTAACATTTCTTTTAAAGATATGGGTAAAGGTCCGTTTTTTTTGTGCAAGTTAATGTTTAATTTCTCGCTTCCAATTTCCAGAAGGTTACTTTTACCACTCACAGCTCCATACCCCATTTTTTAAAACAACTAATAAGAAAGTGTACTATTTCCTACTAAGGTGTATATTCAATTATAAGGTGTGGGGAGCCCCACCTTCCATGAGCCCTCTGTGATTCAATAAAACCAGTGTCCCAATTGTATCCAAAACAGAGGTCTACAGGTTGGGATCAGAGGCTCTACATTAGGTTCCTAAGTGAACTGGTAAGGAGTCCAATAGATCCAATTTCAAGTTTTCCTGTAAAACAGGTGGGTAGAAATGAATCAGGCTTGGCCATGTGCTTCTAATTTGGTTTAGTTAATTAGTATATAATAAAAATATGTTGCAATAAAAATAGGATCCAATGAATGTAACTTGTAGTCATCGGGGCTAGCACTTTTCAGCCAGAGTTGATAAATCTCTTGATATATGAACACTGAACAGTTATCTCTGCAAACTCTACTTACCTGGGCAATACAAGAGTGAATGTTCATCATTTGAAAAATATTTTTTTGCATATCCCATCGCCTTGCTTAAAATGAACCTGTGAGGACAGAGCTGCTATACGAGCTGCCATTACTGGATTGTTTTTAAAGCAACAAGCTGTCATCGCATGGAAGAGGCCTAAAATCAGTGGAGTCTGAAATGCATGACCTCCTTCCTTGCTTGCTTGTTTATGGTCAGTCACTCCCTAGGTAACAGAACTTGGATCAGAATGGCAGCCCTGAATGCTACACCTTTAAAAATATGTCATAAATGTCATACTCATATCCTTACATATTTGCCATTCACTATAAGAGCCCTGAGGCTACCACGGGAAAGGCTAAGGTCCACGGAACAGCAAGATAACATTGATAACTAAAAGCACCTATAACAGTCTACATACCCTTCATTCTCCAGCAACACTATAGATAAGGCAAATGTACTTGATCAGTCACTCATAAGGCAGCAGATTTAGGATCAGAATGGCAGCCCGGGAGACTATACCTTAAAAAATAAGTCAGAAATGTTATCCTTGTGTTCTTACATGTTCGTCATTCACTATAAGTGCTCTGAGGCCACCATAGGAAAGGCTAAGGCCTATGGAACAGTAAGATAACATTGATAACTAAAAGCACCTATTACAGGCTACATACCCTTTACTCTCCAGTAACACTATAGATAAGGCAAATGCGCCTGATCTATTTACAAATGTAACATGCACACTGAGCACAAAACTGAAGCATATATCTTACAAATGAACAATTTTATGGAACCAATCAATAGCTCTTGTTACATTCACTGTTTCTAATGTCATTTTCAGTTAATCTCTCTTCTACGTGTGAGCTATATTCAGTACAGGTCAATAGATTCACAGAATAATTACATGTTTTTCCAGTAAAATTACTTACATGCTTAAGATGTCTTGTTGGAAATGCTGAAACACCTCAGATGGAATAACTTTAAAGGAGAAAGAAGATAATGACCTGGAAGAAAGGAAACAGAATCTTCAATAAATGTCTTTACTCAACAGATTAAAGGCGTGAAAACCTAAAACATTGACTGCATTTATTCGCTTCTTTCTGTTTATTCATTTATTTTTAGTTTGTCCTATTGTCCTTGCTTAGATGTTCTTTAAATTACAAATTCAGCATTTTCTTGAAAAAGGAAGTACTGTATATCTGGTAGTTATTTCCCTCAAGCTCTTAAACCGAGCTACCACAAGTGGTGCAGCTCTTACCTGCTTGGCCATCCTGATTACCCCTAGAATGAGAAGTGTGGAACCCTCAAACTTGAATACAAATCAGGGGCGTAACTAAGGGGGGGGGATAGGGGGGTTCAAACCACCCCCAGAGTGTCCTGGTGTAGGGAGATCGGGTCTGTGTTTTTGATACTTGTGGACCGCAGAGGGACAGACCAGTGAACACACTGTAGCAGGGGGTGGGGCCGTTCAGGGAACTCCATTTCCCAGCAGGCACCGCGGTGAGAGAGCTGTAGGGATCCCATTTGTGTACTAGCTCAAGGCAGCGCAGAGACATCCTGCAGGAGTTGGCAGCCTGGAAGCAACAGCGATCGGGAGGACAATCTGAAAGAACTGAAAAAGAGCTGCAGCAGGTCCAGGTAGGTACGGAGTGCAGTGGTGTAAAAAACGGGGGTGGGGGGTAGGCAGTAAACACAGTTCAACTGAGTGAAGTCTGTGTCACACAGTGTTGCGCAGGGGAAGGGAAGTGAAATCGGAACTTTTCCCTATGCTCAGAGCTCCATCAGAGAGGAGCCTTGCACTGCTCCCCTCTACATTGTTTGTGATATGAGAAGCGTGCCTGTGCTTGCATTCCAAAGACTGAAAGGCTTAAAGAGGAATTCCAGGTTCAGGGAGGCGAGTATATTTACATATATCACACTGACCTAGCCCACCAGTCCAGAGATCTTCATGCTGAAAATGTAGGAGATAACATGCTTCCACTCCCTGAGGGCTGCTCTGCATACAGACAAAATTAGTGTTTTTGCTAAGAAAGTAGATGCCTCTACAAATGTGCACTTGAAAAACAAACCATGCCAGCTCCCTAAAGCCCCGTTCACACTCCGCGATATGCATATCGCGCGATTTGCATATCGCGCGATTTGCATTTTGCGCGATATCGCAAGATTTGCCGCGCGATATCGCGCAAATGCTTGCATTGAGCAAGCTTGAATCGCGGATAAATACGCTTCAAAAAGGGTCCTGCTGTAGCGACACACGACCTACGACAGCAGGACCCTTTACCAGGAAAATTTTTTATCTACGGCCCTGATAAAAATATATGGATCTTGACTACTGAACACAAAAGCAGCCAAACAGGAGAATGGGATGTAACAGAAAAAGTCACAGGGGACAGGAAACATGGCGGATGGAAACAAGCTGATTGGGATAAATGTAGAAATACAGACAGGTGATAATAAACATTTAAAGAGCAGCGGTCTCTGTAGAAGGAAATTCCTATCAATTTATTTGATATTACAGTGGGAGAGCATAGTCCATGTTGGGCCAATATTGAAGCCTCTTGTATCCTAACGTTTCTCCATAACGTTGCCTGTGTTACCTACAAATACAGCAAATGAAAGAGTCCTTGGCCCATTTTTTTTTTATTTGAGTTGACTAGAGGGTACTTTCATTAGGACAATAAGCTTTACTGAAATGCCAAGCACTCTGATTAGTACAATTACATCAGCTAGCAACGAAAACCCAGCAGGGGATTTGTAACTGTCCTTTCCCGCCCAAAATAGAGACATTCAACTCCTGTAGAAATACCTTAAGGGTGTTTTAAACTTTTTCACTATTTCTCACTTCAGCTTATTTATTAAAGTTTATTCAACTTTTTAGTTGCTCTTTTATTTCTCTATTTTGTCACATTTCAGATTTGATATTTTCCTTGTTTCATTTTTTAAACAATACTGTTAATTTAGCTGCATTTATAAACAGGTGAAATCAGAAATTTGCAAAAAAAAGTATATATATATTAGGCATGCACCAATATTGATTTTTCGGTATCAAGTACGAGTACCGATATTTATCTTTCGGTATTCGCCAATACAGATTACCGCTACTTCCACTAACATAGAGCTGGCTTCCCGGCCAATCAGAAAGCCAGACGACATGTCATTACCCGCCACTTCCCAGATAGCAAGCAATTGAGCTGCAAGTTTGGAAATGACTTGCTAAACTATTGCTTGCCAAGCTTCACAATTTTGTTGCACAATTACAGCAAGTCTGCATTGCAAGTCCCCAGATCAACATGCTTTGCAAAAGTGCTGTACACTTGCAGAGCTCTTGCTAAGACCTGCAGGACTCTTGCTGTAGACTTGCCAAGCAAAATTGCTACAAACTCAAAAAGTGTCACCTAGAACTTGTACTGGAAGTGTTCTGCAAGTCTTCAACTTGCCAGGAATGTGTGCAGCAAGTTAACAAGAATTACAATGTAACCCTGCTACAAGTTTCTGGCAAGTTATCCTTGCTATCTGGGTTGGCTTCCTGATCGGCCATAAAAGCCGACTCCATGCTGTTTGGCCGGCTCCATGCTGATTCACCAGGAATACGGCTTCCCAGCCAATTGGCATTGAGCTGGCTTCCCGGCCAATCAGGAAGCCGGGAGGTGGTCATTACCTGCCTCCGGGATTCCTGATTGGCTGGGAAGCTGGCTTCATGCTGTTTGGCTGGCTCGATGCTGATTGTCTAAGAAGGCAGCTTCCCAGCCAATCAGCATCCAGCCGGCCAAATAGCATGGGCAAGCCAATCAGGAAGCCAGGCGGCAAATCATTACCTTCCGCCCGGCTTCCTGATTGGCCGGGAAGCCAGCTCCATGTTCCCTTGCAGCACTGCCGGTCAGAGGAAATCTCCCTCTGACCAGATGTTCTGGCATTGGGGGTAAGTATTGGAGAATTTGGGGGAATATGAGTACTCGCCCAAATACTCGGTGTCTGCACCGATACCAATACTAGTATCGGTGCATCCTATATATACATATATATATATACTTTACATATATATGTGCATTTTAAAGAACACAAGTATGTGTTCTACAGGCCTGCTCCTTTTCTTTTCTAAAGCTCACCATATACAAGCCCCCCCCAAAAAAAACTATGTAATATGAAGATGTTAGCATGCTGTTTATACAGACATAGGTGCAACTGCTTTCATATATTATACTATGATCAGTAACTCTGCCATTAGGCGGTAGTGTGAGCTGAATGCTTGTATAATGTATTGTTCTTCCTAGTGGAACATGTTTCTTCTTTATTTCCTGCTACTGCGTTCCTGTCATTTTGCAGTAAAACAAGAAGGGCTCAGCCATGGGTCCTGCAACAGACTGGTAAGAGTCATATCTGCAGCAGCTTTCCAATAGAGGGCCTACCTAAACAGTCCATTCAATTTGAATCTGATCAGGCAGGCCCTTGCACTACATAGTTGTTGGTAGAGAGGAGGTTGTACAGTTAGATTGTTACTTGCGTGGTCACCTTAAAGGCGAACTATGAGGTGAGTGCTTTTCACTCACTTCATAGTTCTAGCCAACCTGTGACAATGAGACTGTCACAGGTCTGCTCAGTAGATCGAGAAGTGAGCGAACACATACCGGCGTTCGCTCACCTCTCGATCCTGTCACAGCTCTCTGCCGTGACAGGCGAGGGACTGGATTCCCCCCTCCCCGCTCCGATCCACCAGCGATGACTTGCGGATCGGACGGGGGAGGGGTGGATACAGCTGGCTCTGCCTCTAGATAGGCAGAGCCAGCTGTCACTCACGCAGCTGGGCGTATCCAGACATAATTGTCGGGATCCGCTTCAGCTGCGGCATCTCAGTATACCGCGAGAAGTAGCTTGCGGTATACTGTGGCGTCTCAGTATACCGCGAGCTGTAGCTCGCGATATACTGAGCTTAAGGTGACGGGAGGATGCTAGTTTATCTCCTCCCTTTACCCTAAGGAGAACTATGGGGAAAAGCCTTAACCCCATAGTTCTCCTTTAAGCTAAACTCTAGGTAAATATAAAAGACACAAATTATTGCAGCTCTGTAATCAGTAAAGCTAAACTCTGGCCATTATAAAATTAATTAAAAATATATGAATCCACTTTGTGAGCACCAAATGCTTTTGCAAATGCAGTTATCTATTTGTAAAATTGCAGAGCAGAGCTGTGGGAGGGTCCCAACAGGCTCCACCCACTACAGGTTGCCTACAGAAAACTAGAGGAGGGGGCGGAGACAATACCAGTCACCCTGCACAAGAAGATAGAGCAGCAGTGACTGGAATACTGTACAGGACTGAAAGAAATACACAAAACACACAAGATTCAACTAAGAATTCACATTTCAAGTATTTAGACAACATTTAAACAGAGAGGTGAACTCATCATTGCACTGCTTCTCCTTTCACTGTTCAATCACAGGGCGGCAGGTCCAGGACAACCTGGTCTCAGAGGAATTGGGTTGGATATTTTTGTCATCAGCCTTAGCATATCTAGTGGCAGAAAAAAAGTAATGCAGGGGAAATTTCTGGATTGAACCTGAAGATTGCAGTAAAGGCTGGAGCTGGTTTTGTTATTTTATGTTTTAATGGGCTATACATTTTTATCTTGTTATTTTAAGCTGTGTACATTTTGTTCTATGTTGCCAGTTTTGTTCTGTGTTGCTGTTTTTTTCCTCCACTCTCACTAAATGTCTCTGACATTTTATCAATATATAAAATGTCAGAAAACTTGCTAAATGCAGCACTTTTGCTGGATTTGACAAAATAAACAACTGCAATCACCTAATACATCCTATATGTACAACTATAAATGTTTGTCTTTTTGTTACACATACTCACACTCCAGGCTGCTTTATAAAATCCATATGTGGGTGCAGTTTGACCTAATTCTACTTTATATCACATTGAACCATGTATTTCCAGAATACCTATTACAAGAGTCAGAGGCGTAACTAGAACCTTCAGGGCCCCGGTGCAAGAAACCATGA